ATTATGTAGCACACACAAACCCAGAGACCCCCAGACACTTGAGTACATGCTCATGTTATTTAACTTCCCCGTACTTCAGTCTCCTATCTGTGCGTGGAAGATGGTGAATGGAAATGTTGGTAGGATTACACATAAGGTACCTGGACCACTACCTGGCCCAGAGCAGGCGCTGTTTTCGTTAGCTCTGATGCGTTATGCTGGACACCCTCAGAGGACACAGACATGGGAACACACGACACCCAGACCAGCAGGACCAGGTCACACACAGATCCCGAGTCCGACCACAGACACACGTGCAGGTGCCTAGCCACGAGAAGCCCCACAGCGGAATGGAGTAGGGACCCAGCATTTGGCCTTGGCCGAATCGGGCCTGGTCTCTTTCAGCTGGACCGCAGCAAAGAAAATGAAATTGCTCTGTCAATTCAAATTAGCAGAACTCTGAGATGGAGATGGAGGGAGCCCAGGGAGAGAGGCAAGGTGTGAGGAGAATCAGAAGCGGTGCAGGGGGGTGTGTAGGGTGGGGGTGGGGGCTAGAGGTCAAAGCCTCTTTAAGAGGTCAGATGGTCTCTTTTAAGCTAATGGCTGGGGCCTGTAGGCCCTCACCCCACCCAACCTCCTCAATGGAAGGTATATTGCTAGCATCACCTGAAATGACAGGTGTGTGGAGAAGAACAAAGAAAGGGGGATGTGTTGTCTGAGTTTGGCCACTTTCAGAGACAAAAGACAGGAGATGTGGAACTCAGTGGGAGCAGGAAATGAGAGCAGGCTGACCAGGAGAAAGGGAAGAGGCCCGAGGCCACCTGAGGATTATTACAATGAGCCATTACAATGGCTGGAGAGTGCAGACCATCCAGGTGGCCAACTTTTGATTCTAAAGAGAGCAGAAATAGGAGCAGGTATGTCCAATTCTCTCTAAAACAATATCCCCACCTGCTAAGGGAGGCTGAAGGGAGGGAGTGGGAGTGGTGTGGGTTTAGTAAGTGAAGGCTCTGTGTAAAGTGTGTTGGGGAGCAGGGGAAAAGCCGCACTGTGGTCAACTTGAAATAGGTAGGGCCACTTGGTCATGTCTTGAGGAAGGTCCTCAGGAACTTTCTCTGAAATTTATCAGATTTCCTGCGGCCCCACACTGATTACATTTAAGGGGAGTGTGAGTGGCCCTCTGAAAATCAGTCCCTATCACCTTTCTTTCAAGGATGAAGCCACCGCACAGGTCAGTGATTCATGCACACTGACTGCATGTCAGGCGGGATTAAGGAGGGCATCCGGCGCTTTTGAAGAGAAGGTGGCCATCTGGAGGCGCAGGTGCAAGGTGACTGCGCTGGAAGGTGCCAGATGGTTTGGTTCTTTGAAGACAAATTAGGGAAACACAGACGATGACAGATGGGCAGATGTTGGGTTATTGTGAAAGGGGTTTGCCCAGGTGAATTTTTTTTCTTTTTTTGTATTTAAAGTTGAGCTTAGCACAAGGATTTCATCACTATTTATTAACTGCCTTTCAAACGTTGCCCACAAACGCCATAGGAATCTCTTTATGGCAGATTAGTCTGGGAAATAACTCAGGCAATAAAAAGAAGAGAGAGGCCAGGCCAGGCAGACCCACCATCCCTTATCTGCAATTCCTGTATATATACAGGTAAAGCAGCTCTGAAATCTGCACGTTTTTAAAGAACTCACTTGGCAGCACAACGTGACCTGAATCGACCTGAAGCCCTTTGTCACCGAGTGTGAACGTTGGTGCTGAAGTATTGATACGTTTGATTATTGATACCACACCAAACCCCACTGGGATTTTACATAATTCAGGGCATAGGCACTATGTAAACTTTAAAAAATCCAAAAAGTTCTGGATTCTGAAACACACTTGGCCCCCACAGTTTGTGGATAGGTCCCACCCACCTCCAGGGACAGCTGAGGATGAATGCTTGGCAGGCTCCCTGGAGGTGGGTCTCAGCATGGGATGTTTAGGTGTAAGAGGGTGGGAGAGGTTGCAAGGAGACACTGCAGCTCTTGCGGTGTGTGTGAAGGCACTTGGGGAGGGGGGGAGGCACATTTGAGGAGAGGGGTGGGGGTTACATTTGGGGAGGGGGCTGTGGGGGCACATTTGGGGAGGAGGGAGCAGGAGTAAACTCCCAGACTGGTTCCACCAGACTGGAAGTGTGAAATTAACAAACAGGGAGAAACCCTTAGGAAAGCCATTTTCCTGGAAGAAAGGATAATTCACTTTAAAATTGTGCTAGTAATGAAAACATATAATTCAATATACTTATATTTATTGAGACTTGTTTTGTACTCATTCTATAAATTGATTATAAATAAAGTCTATTTCTCTTTTCAGTCCTGTTTTTGTTTCATGCAGTTTGAAGTTTTATTGTTAGGTACATAAATAAGTAGGATTGTTATGTCCTTTTGGTGAATGGACCCTTTTATCATTATGCAATGTCCATCTTTATCTTTGGTAAAGTAGTCTTCGAACTAAAGTCTACTTCATCTAATATTAATATACCTATTTTAGTTTTCTTATAATTAGAGTTAGCATGGTATATCTTTTTCTATAAAAGATTTTTGTTACCTTTCCCTTTTCTGTATAATTGTTATTAATGTAGGATTCTTATAGACAGCATATAATTGGTTATTTTTTTTTAAATCCAATTACTTCATTTTATCTCCACTTGTAGTTTTTTTTATTTTTTAATATTTACAATAGGATATACAATGTATATCTTTAATTTATCACAGTGTATATTTAAATAATATTATACTGCTTTAGGTATAATATAATATATCTTCACAATATACTTTGTACTATTGTTATTATACATTTTACTCTATTATAAATCCCACAGTATGTATATATATATATATATACTAGGTGTATAATAGGCCTTACCATGTAGGTTTGTGTAAATATACTCTATGATGTTTGCACAGTGATGAAATCGCCTGAAACATCGATGAAAGAGAAACATCAATCAGCTGCCTCCTGCACATCTCCTACTGGGGGTGTGCCCACAACCAAGGTACATGCCCTTGACAGGAATCGAACCTGGGACCCTTCAGTCCGCAGGCCGATGCTCTATCCATTGAGCCAAACTGGCCAGGGCCCCACAGTATATTATTATTATTTTTCTTTGAACAATCAATTATCTTTTAAATACACTTTAAAATGAGGGGGGGGGAAAGGATGTGAGTATTTTCTAAACATTATTGGCTTCTTTTTGAAGCAGAAAACCCAATGAGATGGACCAGGGCCTTTTTTCCTAAGAACTGGGCCTCAATCTTGACTACATATTGAGATCATCAAGGGAGCTTTTACAAATCCTGATGCTCAGGCTGTACTGAAAAAAAATAAGTTAGTCTCTGGGGTGGGCCCAGACATCTGTATTTGTTGAAGCTCCTTAGGTAATTCCAGCGTGTCACCGACACTGAGAACCACTGTTCCACCACGCTCCGCAGCCGGCATGGGGGCTGTGGCTCTTCCTTGGGGAGCTCTATCAGGTGCGCTCACTGTACCATGGAATCAGGTGTGTATCTCACCTACTTACCTCTCTCTTCCTTTACTTCCCGGACCATCTTCTCACCTTGCCCTTGTTCTGCTCAGGAGGAGGCCCAGGTGATGAGACGGTGGAGATGGCCAGGCAGGATATGTTGCAGTGGAGTGGAGGGGAGTGTGGATCCAGGGAGGGGAGGGAGGTGGAGGCAAAGCAGAAGCTGCAGAGGTGAAGGGGGGAGGGTCCCCATTGCCCCATCCCTTCCTCCTGCTCTCACCTTCCTTCCTCTTCTCCAGGCCCAAATAAGTCTGGAGCCAGCCAGGTTGGCGACTGTCCAAGGTCTTCTGCCCACACTGCCTGGCCATAGTCCTGCTTAAGTGTGATGAAAAGGCACCGGAAGTTCCTTCCTATTTACCGAGGAAGCGTGGGCTTGTCTCCCGGGAACAGAGTCCACAGACTTTCTGTGATGGAAAGCACCGTGGGTCGGAGCTCCTGCCCTGCCTTCCTTGACTCCGAGTCACTGGGTCAGTTGCTTCTCCTTTATGCACCTCAGTGTTCCCGCCTGTAAAATTAGGGGACCAAGTTGCATGGTTTCCCTAATTAATGAGAACCTCCAGAGCCACACTGGAGGTCCTCCATCTCTGACACGTGTAGGCAGCCTTGTGTCCCTTTGGGGACCCCTTTCTCCTCAATGGTATGTGACATGTGTGGAGTGTTGGCTCTGAAGTCCCCTCCTGAGCATGCCAACTCTGAGGGACAGGTTGGGAATCCTTGGCAGCTGAGAAGATGGCAGCTGGGTTGTTGGATGTGTACCAGAGCGTGTGGTGGAACTGGACCTTCACATGGGCTTTCTTTTCTTTTCCTTTAAAACTTAGGAAAATGACTACATATTGCGGCAGGATGCAGCCCAGCAACCCACAGAGAGTTGCCCTCACAAGGACATTGGGGTGAGGAGGCAGCAGCGTTGGGGCTGAGGATGAGATGCATGTCTGAAACCTGGCTCTAGAGACACAAGGGGTGGCACCTGGGAACCCTCTAGAAACATTAGGTGAGCAGGACCTGCAGAGAGCCCAGATTCCCTGATGTGGGAGCATAAGGTCTGGGGTAGAACTAGAAGTGATCCTTCCTTTACAACTAGGGGCTGCAGAGCCCCGGAGTGTGAGGACTGCTCCTTAGCACTTACCATCAGCACATAGAGACATGGCACAGAACAGGGAGGAAGGCTGACTCTCAGAGCAAAATGTGTAGGTCCCAGTGCCTGTGGGCGTGTTTACGGAACTGCTGCCGGGATTATCACCATTGCTAACGATCCATCATGGGAATGTTTTCATGAACTGTGACCCAATTTACATGGGTCCTCTTGCTGACTTTTGCTTGGTGACCAGAGTACCGCTGTCTGGGCCTGTCCCTCACATTTGTGGAGCCCAGGTCAAGAGTGCAAATGGAGGCCTACATACTTAAGTTTAGCTAACCACCGAAAGTAACAGCAATGTGAATTCTTTAATATCGCAAAATGCTCCTTAGCCATCACATATAGACAGCTGCTGTGAAGGCAGCGCTAATGAATGAAAACCTCCAGAGCCACACACTGGAGCATGAGGAGAAGCGAGAAAGTGAATGCTCAGCGCTGCTGAGAAACTGTTTTCGGTTACACAAGAATCTATCGCAGTCTTGCTGTCTGAAAGGACTGGGTAAGCTGACTTGTCTTTTCTTGATCTAAGCACAGTGCCCATCTCCAGGGCCACACCTTCACAGCGCTCAGTCGCCTTTGTCTTGAGGATTCAGAGCAAAAGGTCTGTTTCTTCACCCTCTCGCTTCTTCATCGAGCAATCCTTTCTTCCTGAGTTTCTGCCCGTGCTGGAGATGACATTGCTAAATTCAAATTTGTTTTTTGTTGTTTTTGTTTGTTTTTATTCCTTGTAGGAAGCCTGTTTCCCCATCCCTGCACATGGACTTTCCCAAGAGGCTAAAGCAGCTCTCTCTGTGTTGGCCAACCTGTTTAGGGTTCTCTGAGGTTGCTCCTAACTCAGGAAAGCCTGTGAGATGACATTCCAAAGAGGACTCCTCCCATCTTCTTTCCTTTAAATAATTACAGGTGTGTTCCTCCCAAGGTCCTGAAAGAAGTTCCCCCTGGGACAAAGGCCTGTCCATGGAGGGGATCCAAGCTCAGCTTTGGTCATGTGCACTCAGGCTTTCAAAGCCATCCTCTATCAATTGTCTCAGGCTCTGAGTGTGCTAGCAGGTAAGAGTTCTGGAAAAAGTCCTGTGTTCCTTTCCTCCTTGGTCACCTCAGGACACTAAGCCAATGCAAGGGCAAGTTGCCAGAGGCTCTTCAATAAGAGTCTCTTTCTACCCGAGTCTCACTCACTTGCTCTGTTTTCCAGAAAACATTCTATTACAGAAGAGGAAATTTCTCCAAGATCAGAGTGGGAAAGATTATGTTAATTTAATCATTTATTTCTTCAACAAATGTTCATGACATGTGTACCATGTGCCAGCAATTGTTCCAAAAGCTGAGAATGTGAACAAAACAGAGAAGCCCTCTACTCTCACAGAGCTTATGCTTTAATGGAGAGACCATAAACAAGCAGAAATAAATGAGCAAGACAATTTCCAATAGTAATGAGTTCCAGGAAGACAGATGGAGAGAATGGGTTCTTTTTGGGCCGCAGCGCTTGTTGTGGACAGAGTTGCTCATTTGGGTTGGTGGCCAGGAAAGAATTCACCAAGGAGGTGCCATGTGAGCTCATATCTGAACAATCCCAAGAAGCTAGGCGTACAAAGACCTATAGGTAGCACTTCCTGGTAGATGGAAGAGCAAGGGCCAAGGTGCTCAGATGGGAATAAGTGAGGTGTGTTTGAGGAATCAAAAGAAAGTTTAAGTAGCTGAAGTGCAATGAACTAGGGGGAGGGCAAGAGGTCAGAGATATAGATTATGTGGTAAAAATAACCAACCTAAGGAAAACTTCAACTAGTCCATGCCCTTCTCAATCTCTAGGGACCTAACTCGAGGTGCCTATTGTTGCAGGGGCCACTGATTGGTAATAGGATATGGAACTTGAGCTGACTTTGGTCACTTCCACAGTCACACTTATTTGCAGGTATATGTAGAATCCTTCATCCCCAAAGCTTCTAGATGGCCTCTAACACATTTTACTCTCATCATAGCCACGTCAACAGAAGTGGCTACGAAAACTCAGCATTCCAAACCATTTAAGTAATTTGTGCTACATCAGAGGGAAGTGGTTAGCTCTGTATGCTTTCCAGAGATGCCTCTGACTTCCACATTAACTCTTTTGCTAGGCAGCATCAGGCTACACACCAAATCCGATTCTAAGAATGAACACCAAAGCCTCTCGCTGACCAAGCCAGGGCTTTGCAGAGTTGTGCGGCACCTCCACTTACTTCCCCTAGTGATTGTGTCTTCTCCTACTTTCTGTTGACTGTTTCGTTAGTGTCTTTGAGATTCATGCTCCCTACTCACTGAAGGAATCTCAGAGCCATCCATCCTTGTCCGGTGGCCATCCATCCTTGACTGGAGTGTTCCTCTGATGGGTAGTTCACCTCTGCTGAAGGAATTGGTCCCTTTGCTGGACAAGTTTAGTTATTAGAAAACTCACCTCCCTCTTGAATGGACATTTCTCTTCCAAAAACATTCATTTCTTTCTCTTTGCAAAATCAGAACCAGAATCCGGTTTTAATTTTAACATTATGTCACCAGCACTTTCTCATGTTATCAAATATTCTTGGGAAACACAGGGATTGTAATACCTGCATGATACTCTATCATGGAAAAGCAGCATAATTCATTGAATCCTGCTCCTATTATTGGCAAAGACTTGCTTCAAGTCTGAGAAATACATGAAAGATCATCCCATTTGTGTTTCTTATTTTCCAGATGAGAAGACTGCATTCCCTGAAGCTAGTCATTTGTCTGAGCCTGGCCAGCTGGTCAGAGGCTCAGCTAGGACCTGGCACTCCCAGGCTCAGCCTCTGCTCTTGCTGTTGTCACATGCTGCCTCCTGGGCCTCTGCGAGGCACTTTTTGGAACCTAACTGTAGGGCACTGCCTACATTCTTTCTAAATTACATTTTGTAATTTGGGGCCCATTATTCCTGCCTGTCAAGATCATTTTTATCATCTGTCATATAACCATTAGCTAATGAGGGACACTGTAGCCAACATCAGAAACTGTGGCTTGTTCCTCTATCAAGATGTGCTTCCTAAATCACCTCTGTGCCCACGAAAGGGAATTATTGTCAAAGCTTTTATCAGATAATTCCAATAGTCACCAGCAATTATAGAGGAGGGTGCTAATTAGCATACTTCAGTCCGTGTTTCTCAGGGACCCCCTGGCTTCTGACATAGTGACCAACTCTGCCCTGCTCTGGGTGCCCAGATGTAGATAACCGAAGCATTACAAGAAGGGGTCTTGGAGGATGGGATTGGTATTTTGGGGGGAAAACATGTGATCAAGGGTATATCTCTTTTACTCAGACTCACCCTGAGGCTGTATTATCATACTCTACATGGAGGAATTCCATGGGTACAAGACATCACTCTTGGGAGGCAGGAGTTACCTCTGCTCTTTCCTTCACATTTTATGGAACACATTTTACCCAAAATTTACCAAGGTTTACCATGATCTAAAATGAATCTTTGACATCAGTGTTTATCATCACTAGAACCACTTTCCGAGTCACCTAACATCCTTTTTTTCCAGAATGCCATGTTCACTCCCACCTAAATCATTTGAGATGCAGCCCCTTTAAAACCTGTCTTTGGAAATGGTGTGGCTTGGGTTTATTCTGCGTGAACATTTTTCACGGATTGCTTTTCAGAACACGCTTAATTTATATGAATGCCATTGGCAGGCACCAGAGAATGTAATGGTTTCTATTTATGGTTAATGTTAATCCATTGACCATATGGTAGTTTAAATTTCTGGTACAAATTCCTTTTGCATGCTGTTATTGCTCATTCTTGGACTGCTATAATTGTGTAATTTATCAATGTGAAAAATGGACTATGAAATGTAATAGTCCAGAGCTAATATGGACAGCAGCAAGGGAATTTAGTGTGCTCAGAGAAGAGCTGTTTCCACGGAAACTAAATCCTTTGAGCAAGACCTCGGGATCCCTGGGCTGCAGTGTGTGTCCAGGTGTTAGGCCCTGGTTTCCAGGCTCATCTCTGACATGAGCTGCCAGGTGGCATGGGCAAGTCCCTTAACCTCTTTGGGACTTAACATTATTATCCCTGACTAGAAGAAGCCAGACTCATTCAGTGTTTACTAGAGTTTGGGATATAAGTGACCAATGATATATTTTTTGAAGTTGATATTTTGGAGCAATTTTAGATTGACGAAGAAGTTGCAAAGGGAGGACAGTTCTTTTTTTTTCTTTTTTTTTTTATTATTGCTTAAAGTATTACAAAGGGTATTACATATGTGTCCATTTTTTTAGGAGGACAGTTCTTGTACATACCTTTCACCCAGCTTCCCCTAATGTTAGCATCGTACATAACACAGCACATTCGTCAAAACTAAGAAATTGACATAGGTGTAACACTGTGATCTACAGACTTTTTTTATTTCCCAGTTTTTTCATGAATATCCTTTACCTGCTCCAGGATCCAACCTGGGATACCATGCCACAGTTAGTTTTCATGTCTCCTTAGTCTCCTACAATCTGTGACCATTTGTCAATCTTTCTTTATCATGACCTTGTTAGTTTTAAGGAATATTGGCTAAGTATGTTGTAGAATGTCCCAACTACTAATATTTTTTAAGAAGTAGAACAAAATTGGATGCCTCGTGTGGGGCTGGAAAAGTTAGACAAGTGACTATGTGACCGAGGTCTCTGTGTGGCAAGTGTCCTATCAAACAGGGAGTTTATTGGCTCATGTAACTATCAAGGCCAAGGGCATGTGTGGCTTCAGAATGACATTTGTGTCCAGTTCTGCCCTGTCTCTTGGCTTGGTTCTTCTCTCCTCTGAGCTGCCAATCATTCTCAGATATGCTCTCACCACATAGTTATAAGATGACTGCCAGCAGGACACATGGCTATATGCATCCAGGGTGCGTCCCACCTTCCCAACTAAGCTCTCAATAGTTCTGGTTCTGCCATCTGCCCATCCTTGAACCAGAAGGAAAAGACAATCTCTTTTCTGCTCCTGATGTGAGGTTGTGTTGGCCAGAGTTGTGGCCACCATCTTGGGACCATGAGGGGAGCAAGATGACAGCTAAAAAAGGCACAAGGGCTTAAAGATGGACAAGCACCTGGGTTCTGGGTGATGCTGTTTAGTTGTGGAATTAATCAATCCTGGTCTGGGTTGGTTGGAGAAATAATAGGTGCTTTATTGCTAAGCTTCAGTTAGTTGCGTTTCATATTACTTGCAACCCGAAGCCTCCTAAATGAGATTGCAGGTTTCCTAGTGGATATAGGACAACACCTGGGCACAGTTTGCTTGTTGGGCTTCTATATTTGACAATAAGTACAAACTCAAGCTCAACATATGCTGGCTCATTAGATTTAATGTTGGAAAATCCCGTTTCACACAGGCATTTTGACCAAAAAAAGAAGTTATACTCATCAGTTTCGCACAACACATGTAGAACATCTGAGTAATAGCTCCAATGTTTCTGGTCGCTTCTTTCCATGAAGTCTAGAAGCAAGTTGTGGGGACAGGCCAGGGAGGGGACAGGACGGGTCTGTGCTCTCACTTTGAGCACATCCAGCACTTAGACGTCTGCTTATCCAATGGGTACGGTCTGGAGTTGGTCAGATAGGGACACCTTACCTGGAGGACACTTTCTCACCAGGAACATTTGGGCCCCCTGAGCTGAGACAACCTTGTCTAAGGCCCCTTCCACTGGGTCAGGTGAGTACTGTGTGATGTAATGGCCTGGAGACCACCATGCCAACAGCAGGG